CATAAATATGTGCATAAAATGTTCAGGTTTTACTCGTAAAGTAATATTTAACAATGCCTGTCTCATATCCTATAATCCTGTAAACATCCAAACTCTGTCCACGTAAAAACGATTTTATTTGCGGAAATACACTAAAGTTGCGTTATGCAAGTCATTTTTACAGCACTGCAATTTCGGAATAACGATTTCTCCACGCATGTAATCCTATAAACTGTTCCTTCCGTCCGAAAATATTATATGCCATTTAAATACAAATATACAGCCTTTTTTACTATGTTTTCCGGATTGTTTACAAAATGTATTGGTCCCTGTATGTGTTTATCCGATGCAGAATTTTATCACTGTTCACTGCTCTGACTATTCGGAAAGCGTTTCCTTTTTGGACAATTTCAATCCTGTCTCAATATGTTCTAACTTTGATTGCTCAGCCATTTTACAACTTTAAGCGTTCAAATTTTGCATGTTTGACGTGATCGCTTGTGTCAATTTCATAATGTAATAGTAATCCAGATTTCGGCAGAATTTTATGAAATACAAATGAAATTTTTAAATGGAAACATAATTTTTGTAATTGAAATTTTGCGGTGTTCCAGCTCTCCGTTCTAAGTCTAATTATGAAGCCATAATTGAAAATAAACATTAGAAATTGAATAAGATTTTCATTTTTTAATTCACATTTAATAATGGATAAGAAATCTGCTAATAATAAATATCAATTAGGCAATATTTCAAATTCAAAAGAAAAGATATGCATAATGGTGCTATAAATTAAAATAAAAAAAACTTCAAATGGTTTATATAAATTTTATAAAAATAAAACGACTGTTTACATTTTTATTTATCCGGGTTTTCTTCTAGGATGTGATTTTTTTTTTATTTTTCTGCTTCTTAATTCAGTAAAAATTCCAGTTATTAAAGATAGTGGGCCTTAACAAGGGTTGAAATTGTATAAACTCTAAAATAAAGTCTTGTAATTAGAATGATATTTTTTTGTAATAAAACGAGTCAAAAAGGTAATACGACAGTAAATCGAATAAAGAATTAAATGTTTCACAAATAAAGCGACACCTTAGTGACGCTAACTAGATGGAAAGTGAGAATATAAACCGAAAACAACAGGAAGTATGTTTCAAAAATAGTATGTTTAATTTGACGTAATAATCAAAACGTTTTTCCTGGAACATGCATTGCTAGATATGTGTATTTTTACTTTCCATACATGGTGCTAGAGAGAGTGACTAAAAAGAGCTTTTTTTTACAAATCTAAGCGTCATGACATACTATTTTTTAAAACCAAAATCATTAAAGGAGCAAATTGGGTACACCTCAAATCACAGATTACAATATTGTTTTAATCGGGACTTTTGCTGTCTTTTTTTTCCATATATCTCATTGTAGTTCGACATAAATTCTTTCCTCTTTCCTCCTCCTTCAATGATTTTTTTTTATTAAATAATACTATTAAGAATTATTTTCCTTGAACATTTTTGGAGTCACTTTCTCCTGTTTTGTTAAGAGATACTATATAAGTGTACATTATAGACAGATATTTTTATGCCAAAAATAATAAATATTTCAAAATTATTTCGTTTTATCCCACAATTTAGGAAATGGTGTGCTTTTATTGACAATCAAATCATTGCAATATTTGAAGTACAGAAATGCCTTCTATTACCTAAGTCTGAGAAATGTGTGTGGTGAAAGAATATTGTCTTTCAAACGCATTACATAAAATAAAAAAGAAATATTTAAATAAGTGTTTACAGAAAGTGACCTGTCATGTGTTGCATAATCTGTCTATTCCATCTGCATCCTGTCTTGTGTTTTTTGAAAGCATGTTGTATCATATTGTAAATAACAGGGGGTTATGATTGCACTCAGTACCACATGTATTTTCTCAGTAATGTGTTCATGAAGGACCCTCTGTTTATTTACTCTTTCATCGTTTACAAAATAAATGACATTATTCATTCATTCTTATATAAGTATTCTATTTTTGTCTGTTCATATCCGATATCGAAATTCATCTCTATTGAAAAGTTATACAGACAAAGAACCATAGATATGTACTCATGACACCAGGCTTATCTAGATTCCTGTTTTTATACAAACCACAAAATGTCTTCATTGTACCCAGGAGGAAACATTTCCCAACCCACGGTCAATGATACACTTCCAAAAAATACTGCATATTTCCAAGAAAACTTTAAAAGCCGAACTTCAGACACATTTTAATCCATATTTAATATTTAAAAAAAAAAAACAAACAGTATAGTCCTGATTTTTTTCTTGCTATTTTACATGTCAATACGTTTTACTACCTTAGCTACATGTTTATGAAAGACTCCTGTTTTTTAGCATTTACAAAATAAATGACTTTATTCATTCTTTTAAGTGTTCTATTTTCTCATGTTTTTATCTGAAATGAAATCAATATCCTTGGAAAAGTTAAAGAAACAAAGAACCATAGATATGTTCGCGTGACAAGGGGCCGATCTGATTCCTGTTTTTATATAAACCATAAAATGTCCTCATTGTATTCAGAGAAAAAACTCTACATATTCAAAGAATACTGCATTTTCCGAGAAAAAAAACTTTGAAAGCCGTATTTCTAACACAATTTAATCAATATATGATATAAAACTACTAAGATAAGAGTCTTGAATTTTTTCTTGCTGTTTTATGAATATAGTATTGGACATTTGCTCAACATTTAATAAAACGAAAATAACGCGCAGAAATAAAACACATATATTTTGCCCACGAAGAATCAGACAACCACTCTACCCTCAAATGTTTGGAGGTCCATGTTTGCTCTTCTCCTATGTTGTATTGTTTAATGAACTTTTGATCTTGAATACTGTTCGTTATCTCCAAATTTTCATGTCAATGCCCAAACACGAAACCATGACCATTAAAACGATTTTCTTATCTATAATCATAATAATGCACTTCCTATCTATAATCAATAATGTGCTTCCATACATTGTAAATTGTACAGGTTTAAATGTCAAAGTAAGCCGTCAGTGCTTCTCGCAAAAGTGCACTTATATCATGTTACTCTTACCATGGTGATACCACTATACTAGGGCTTTATCACTTGTATCATGTTACTCTTACCATGATGATACCACTATACTAGGGCTTTATCACTTGTATCATGTTACTCTTACCATGATGATACCACTATACTAGGGCTGTATCACTTGTATCATGTTACTCTTACCATGATGATACCACTATACTAGGGCTGTATCACTTGTATCATGCTACTCTAACCATGGTGATACCACTATACTAGGGCTGTATCACTTGTATCATGTTACTCTAACCATGATGATACCACTATACTAGGGCTGTATCACTTGTATCATGTTACTCTTACCATGATTATATCATTATGATAGGGCTGTAACTTGTATCATGTTACTCTAACCATGATGATACCACTATGCTAGGGCTATATCACTTTGACCCTGTTCCTACTGTCATTCGTACGTGTATAGGAATTTCAATTGAGATACCAATAGGGCTCACTTCTACAGTTTTCGTTGCAATGCATACAACCAACTAAATCTCCACCCCCACTTTATTTACTTCCATTTCTTTCTTCAAAAGATGCTTTGAACCCATCCTTTCTTGAAATAAACAAGTGTGCTTGAAAAAAAAGTCTTTAAATTCTTTTTTTAATGACATTTTTCCAGTATGTTTATTTTTTGTTTGTATTTTTTTTGGGGGGGGGATATTTTAGCTTTGACAAATGACACATTGTATATATTTTATATGCAATATGTATTATATTTCTTGTAACAACCTCCTCCCCCATATTTTCTCCCTTAAATCAATTGGGAATCTTCTTCTTCTATATTACAACAACACTTCAGAGTGCTGACGATTACTTGCTAGTAATGCATGTGACGGTGGTACGTACATGTCTATCAAAAGCTTATCATAACAATCATCCAAAATAATCTTTACATTGATTAACATTTAAATGAAAAATGTAATTGATTAATCACAAATAATTTGATGTTTTTATAAAAAAAAAATTTAAAAAACAAATTGTGTAACTTTTTCATTGATTTTAAATTAACTTAAGTATAAAAGCAAACATCTAAAATATCAATCCCTCTGTCAGGGATTTTTTTTCTTGATATAATTTTTGATCGACTTTTTGTTGATTTTTTTATATCTAATGTCAGGATGGAAAGCTATCAACAAATGCAAACATCGCTAATGAGTTTTGTTTTATTTTCCTTTTCTAAATGAAAAAATGCATTAGATCTTATATAAGAATCTTTCATACTTAAGGTTTTACATTTCAACATTTCTATGAAATAGTCAAATACATAAAACAGAAAAGGTTATACATCTGGACTATAAATATGAAGCTTTCAAAAATAGAGACTTCTAAAAATTCCAATCTATATATTCTTTAATCAGTGAGGAAGGGGGAGGGCTATTAATTCCTTATTTATCAGAGGAAAATTTGATAAAACTCTTTGAGGCTGGACTAAAAACAGACATTTGCATTCCCTCAAAAGACTTTCTCTAACTAAATAAACATACACAAAAACCGGATGAAAAAAAGAACTTTTATGAATAACCCTGGTATTATGATTAACTGGATTTTTTTTCTTTAAAGCTTTTTTCACGAGGTCGTCTTTTTAAGCGATCATTTAAAATTGTACAATTTTGTAACAAGAACAAAAGGTACTAAGAAATCCGTTGTGTATTGTATTTGTTTGTTTATTTTGAATTGTCTGAACTTATGAAAAGCTAATAATTATTGTTTAAAAAAAAATAGGTTGAGTAAAAGCTAACCTCCTCTCTGATATAACGACTGTGATCCATGCTTAATAAGCTTATCTGACTTTAACAATTATTCCATGAATATAAAAAAATTAAGCTCAACATTTAAGTGGCGTTAAGGGGTTAAAGGCAATGATATATTATTGGTTGAATATAAATCTTCCGTGTTTAGGGCTATATATAAAGCTGTGGATATTTTCAAGAAACACTTTATTCCAGAAACACTTTCGTTAAGAAACAATCAAGGAAGTTAAACCATGGCTATGGTGTGGGTAGCGCTCCTTATGTCCGGCATCGTATGTACAAGTTCCCAGTACATTTACTCGAAAGATCGTTGTGCCAGTAATGGAGAGACAATGATGCAGATTCGAGAACTTGTGATGCAGCAGGGGAGGATCCAAGAATCTTTAGATTCGCTCAGGCGGATGGTGAAGAAACTTGAAGAAGATGTAACCAAGACCAAGACCCATGAAGATGTTAGAATTGTCAGGAAAGGTAAATCTCTCTCTCTCTCTCTCTCTCTCTCTCTCTCTCTCTCTCTCTCATTCTCTCTCTCTCTCTGCAGTTTGTCTGGATGTTTATTGATATGATAATTACATAATCATGAATGTATTTCTCTTAAATTAAGGTTTAAAACATTATACGGATTGTTGCGATAACTGTTTACACAATCACAATAACTCTGGCGTTTATCTCAAAGATCCCCTGGGTAATAAGAGTCAGGTGCACGTGTACTGCGATATAGAGACATAGAGAGGAAGGTGGCCATATATTTTTTTTCTTTTCTCTTTCAGAGTTAAACATATATAAAGATTGCAAAGACTTCTACATTCGTGGTAATACAGAATCTGGTGTGTATGAGATTCATCCATTTGGTAATAACAGCAAGGTCAGCGTCTTCTGTGACATGATGACAGAAGGTGGAGGGTGGACAGTAAGATCTCTTTCTTTCTCTCTCTCTCTTCAGTTCCACCATCAATTATACCTACTCCTTCTTTAACAATTTATTAATCTTTGATTTTAACACTGATATCAAATCTTTTCGCTGAATGAACATTGAATGATTTTTCTAGCCTATTTTACTGGAAGATAATGAAATTCCGAAATAAATATTTTTAATTGAAAAGTAGAAAAAAAAAATCATATAATATCATAAATTTGATAACAAAGATTTTATCTTCTTTAAGTAATTGTTGGGATTAATATAATACGCAAGTTTCGAGTTTATGACAATTTGAAAGACATTGGCAGGGAATAGTTGAAATACTTTTAAAAAAACAATTTACCGTTACTTATTCTAGAAAGTTTGGGCCCCACATCTTCCTCTCCCTCTCTTTCTCTCTACATAAACTTTTACACTAGTTTTTATTACCTCTTTTTTTGTTTTTGCTTCATTTCAAACTGTCTTGTAAATTTATTTAAAGATACGTCTGTTTTGTATTTGTATAATTTATGTGAAATTAAAAATAAACTATCAAAAAAAAAACAAATAAATAAAAAAATAACCTCCTATACTTCATAAATCCTTAGGCTATCCAGAAACGTGTGAGTGGTACAGTGTCATTCGACAGAACCTGGACGGACTACAAGACGGGATTCGGGAATCCTAACGGATCTTACTGGATTGGTAAACTATAAACAGTTATGGAATGACTACAGAGGTCATAGCAAATTATGGCTCCCCGATTGTTAGGGTTCCAGATGCAGAAATATTTCCCTCCCTCGGGGAACCATGACTTTGCTATTTATACTGTATCTATTCCATAACTGTATAAAAGCTTATGTTTTTTTAAGGGATGATAAATATTTTTTATTATTAACTGTTTTAATTAGTATTTTATTTTTATCAGTTTAAATGAAGTTTTTAACATTTAATGTTGTATACACAAAAATGATTTTCTGTACTTTAATTTTGAAACATGTACATTTATTGCCTAAGCAAATTTCTGCATGCATATACAACTGTGTGTTGCTTTCTATGACAACAATCCCGATCATGTTTTGCTTTATAAATGCTGATATATAGCACGAAAATATCATATTTAAGGGAATGATGTAATACATCAACTTACCAAGGGAAGGAACTCCTCCCTCTACGTCTCCATCACACTGACCAATGGGAAAAAGCTCTATGAATTATACAACCAATTCTCTGTTGCTGACGAAATCAACAAATACAGGCTTTTCCTTGGCGGACCAGCTACCGGGACCCTGGGTAGGTGAAAGGGAAAAAGAATCTGTATGAATGGCGACCGATAAGGAAAGAGAGAGAGAGAGAGAGAGTTAAATTTCTTGTGACAGAAAGACAAATGTAAACTATTTCTCTGAGAATCAGCCCGATTGTTACGTAATTAATGGAGGGGGGGGGGGTAATGTGTGGATATCAATATTTAGTAAGTAAAAGTAAAACTTTCCTTGAATATTGAAAATCAAGAGTCCATACTATATGAGCCAATTGCTAAAAGATTGAACATTTCCACGTCATAAACACTACATGCGTACTTGTAGGTAATGTTGTCAGATACATAACTCATACAGAGAAATCAATAAAGGTATTAAACGATTATTGAATTAAAAAAAAAAACTTGCATTGGAAATGTAATTACTTACAGTAATGTTGATAACGAGGACTTGTTGTAATTATCCCGCTTTTGTGTTAAAGATACACTTAGTAGACTTAACAAAAGCAATACAACAATAAAGAAAGAAGTTAATTACACAAATTGTATCTACGTGTAGTCGCACAAATTTGAAGAATTCTAATGATTAATGTGTTGATAAAATGGAAGAAAAGCTATTGTTTCCTGTACTGTTAACTTAAAAAGGTGCACCCCCACCCAAAAAAGAGAAAAAAATCAAACCGTTATTTTCTTATGTAATATCAATTTATTGGTTCATAAAATTATTTTTTTGAATATCCCTTCTTTATATGTACGTATATAGGCTTACCCATTTCAATGTTTAAAAAAAGGCTTCATGTGAATGAAAAAATAATTAAATAATAATTAAATTTATTGACGTCACCCGCGTGGGGCAGTGGTTAGAGCCGTGAAGTAAAGAATCTTTAAATCGCGGGTTCCAATCCCACTGTAGGGCGTGCAGACTGGTCCTTCGGATGAGATCGTATAAATCAAGGTCCAGTGTCGTAGTAGATGCTGGCACGAAAAATATAGCAAACTGCTCAATTGCCGTGTATAACATGTATTAAGAAACAACATTTCTAGTTCTCAACCGGCAATTGATGGCGTCACCATATGAGTGAAAAATTCTCGGGCGGCACGCTGAACTACATACATTCAATCAGTTAACCAATCTTTTATTTTATTTTTTTTTTATTTCTTATGAGACTCATCAACATGTTTGTATACAGCCAAAAAGAAATCAAATGACAACAGAAAAACAACGTTAAATATAAAATGAAAACAGTGTTCAACTATTGTAATTGAAAGCAATGCAATTTAAAGTAATTCAAAAAAAAGTTTTTATTGTTGAATACTATAGATGCTTTAAGCTTTAATTTTTTAGTAAATAATAATGATCTAATCTGAAATACGTGTTCATGTTCTATTTCTCTTTGATAATTTTACAGGAGACTCTTTGTTAGACACAGTTAATTCTGCCGGTGATCTGTCTGGGATGTACTTCAGTACCCCGGACAGAGATAACGACGGGGATAGTGAAGGTAACTGTGCTGCTGACAGTAACCGTAGAGGAGGCTGGTGGTTTAATGACTGTTACCTCGCCTTCCTTAACGGTCAATGGTCCCCGGGGTACTGGTCCGACCCATGGTATCCTACAGTGAGAGATAATAAACAGATGAAAGAAACTCTCATGATGATCAAACCTCACTGACTTTTTTATATCTTTATATCCATACTTGTTCACGCATAATATGAAAAGTTACATACTTTTATTATAGATGATGAAAACTTTACTTTACTTTTAGACATAATGGTGGTTTCTACAGTATATACATTGTGATAAATATATAATGTTATTATGTGTAATGAATTTATTGAAAAGTCCTTATGTGTATTATGTTTAAGATAGTGTTGTACATGTAACATTAATTACTAAAACAAGGAAATCGCATTAAATATTGTTACATAATAAAGGTTTTGTTTTTATTTTATTAACTGTCGCTTTATTATTAATAGTGTAATGATATAAAGTATGTTAAAAACAAAGACAATGTTTTTTTTTTTTTAATACATTCCTTGAATTTCAACTGATCCACGTGAAAGGTCACATCACTGGGTAGAAGTAGTATCCATCAGTCTGTCATCTCCGTACATGTGTGTTGATAATTAGAATTTCATTCTGTTACAGTTTATAAATGATGTAGAGATGATAATTACGTAAATTTTATTTTCAAACACCAATATTTCTCGTTACTTGTTAGTGTATTTTATATATACAGTGTGTGGAAAAGGCTGCATGTAATGCCAAACCAATGAATGGGAAAACAAAGTATTATATGATGACTTTTTATGACATTAACGTTGAAGGCCTTCACAGAGTAACGTCATAAGCGAAAATCAAATTTCCCGCTCTTCTTCAGCAGTTTGAAGTTTTATAAGCCACCTTTAGAAACCTTAACGTCACACTGAAATATATTTGAGTCTTTTAGACAAAAATGCTACAGATCCCTTGAAGCAAATGTTGTTCATTTCACGGCGCTAAATTTTGCGCATGGATAGGGATATAAAAAATGCATGGTTATTGTTTTGAAATATAAGAGATATTTGGGCGAGGGTAAGAAAAGGTGATAGAGGGCGAGGCTTGCGTTTTCGACCCTAATCCCAAATATCGCTTATATTTCAAGACAGTTATCATGTATCTTGTTTATCCTGCAACAAAATTTTACATTTGAACGTCCAAAACAAACTTTTTCCGACTGATTTAGGCACATCTCTGCAGTTGAAACTACGAAGCCATGGCGTAAACATTGCAATAAATGTGACGTAACAATGCTTTTAGAACGTCGGAATACATGCGCGATGCTTTATTAGGGCAGTGACCGGATAAAGCTTTGGTTTATTAGGTTAGCTTTATTAGGTCAGTGCAAGGGGTAGTTGCAGGATAAAAATTTTTTCTACTTTCTTGCATTATTTTGTAAACCACCTGTCCTTTCCTAATTTGAGAAATACTCTTTAACAACCTGTATGTTATATCTACCCTCTGACCCTTTATAATCGTCCATTAAACCTTATTAAATCGTTTTTTTTTTTATAAAAACATTTTTTTCGGGGGAGGGGGTCACAAGAGAAGCCTATAAAGGGGTTGGAGACGGATACAATATACAGGTTGAAAAAAGAATATATCTTACATTTGGGAATGAAAGGTAATTGATCGTTTAATGCTGAAATAAAGAAAAACATATCCCCAAAGTAGGCAGAAGACGTCGTTAACTACTCAATACTTACTTTACGAGATCGGTTGCGTTTTCATCAATAATAAAATATAAAACATAACGCTACGGTTTCTGTAGCTAGAAGTAGATTCATGTTTCAAAGCTTTTAAATTATAAAGTATTGTAGACAAAATTGATAAGAGAATTGAGAAGAAAAAAAGGTACAGTTTTAATGCGGGAGGTATAAAAATAAAAATATTCGCGTTTATTTTTTTTTTATCTTTCAAAAATATACTTAATTATAAATCATCTTATCAATATTTAATGCCCCCTCCTCCCAAGGATTTTATTTAAAGAGCGTAAATATTTCCAAACCGTTACCCGCGTTCAATGAAATGGCTCTATTGTACTGAATTCTAGTCATGTCATATCTAAAGTCTATTAGTTCTAGTCAATTGATATAAGTAAAACAAGCTCGTGTATTAAAAAAATAAAAAAAAAAAGAGGTTTTGTTTCAATCCTGGAGGTATAAAAATAAAAAAAAATCGCGTTTTTCTTCTTTTGCGAAAACTATAAACTCATAACTGTACCTGATTTTGTCAGTAAAGAAACTGAGCATATATCGTTGCAGTCATGAGACAATATCTTTGAAAATTATGCTTAATTATAATTATAAATCATCTTCTAAATATTCAATGCCCCACTCCTCCCAAAAATTTTTCTTTCAAGAGCATAAATATTTACAATTTGTTATCCGTGTTCAATGGAATGGCTCTATTTTACTGAATTCTAGTCATGTCAGATCTAAAGTCTATTAGTTCTAGTCAATTGATAAGTAAAACAAGCTCGTGTATTAAGGAAATAATTTTGTGTTTTAGGTTGTTCTATACTCGGACACAATAAATGGGATCGATCTTAAAAAATCTGCTTTTAAAAGATAGACATACATCCCAGCAATGGATAGATACAAGAAAAATGATATTTCAACATGTTTACTTTTCCGCTATTGCCTATCAGAGTATATGAAATGTAAAATACTGAAAATTTACCTATCCTAGATGTTGTTGTATTTAAATGGATTCAAGTCTAAATATTCGACTTTAATACCCTAAAGAGAGTAGAAATATGTTAGTCAACAATATATAATCATTTTTTTGCACAATTATTATAAATAGATGCACTTTGTTATGGCTAACGTATTAAAATTGAAACCAATCTCATGTATTAGGGAAATAACGCAATTTTGTGTTCTTCTATTCCTGATATCAATTTTAGTGTAGCTTTGAGATTTATAAGGTTTTATTCATGGCCTGAGTACGTCTTGCTTATCATTAAGTTGACATGATTATATGTCTGAAGACGTTTAAAAAATCTGCCATTGCCACATGTGTGTAATCTTCTCCATTCAGTTCTTTAGGAAAAACTTTAACCGGATAAGACATATTGACTTTTTGCGACACAAAGCAATCAAAATTTATATTTAAGATATATTTTTTCCTTAGAACAAAATTATAATAAATGAGCATAAACAAACATTATCAATGTTGTAGTTATTCTTTCTCAAAAAAAGGTTTAATCTTACTGAAAAAGATTGAATTACATAGTAAAACAACTTATTTTGACTCGAACTCACATGTAAAAAAAAAATGAGTGTATCCATTACGCTTAAGGCATGCTGGGATGCACAAATTAGGTCAAACTTACTCAGTAATAAATAAATATCAACATGTTTTTTTCAAAATCACTTAATACAATCTATTAAAACTTTATTCTCTGCCCCATTATAACTAAAGAAACATTCGTGTTAAGACAGTATATACATGTAAACACACATGCATCTATAAAGCATGACAAAAGATGCGCACCCACATGTAAGCTATTGTTTACCTACTTACTTTAAAGTCTTTAACACTAATTCATACATTTACAATTCTCGTACTGAATCACAACATGTGCCTAGCATAAACATCAATCTCGTCCCTTAGATAAAAGTGTAAGGAAGGATATGGAGATAACGAACATATTCAATATCAAAGTCTATAAAAGATACAAAACAGGTGCAGAGCAAACAAATAAAAGACGTAATAAGCTGTAAATAAGAGAACATCACCTAAAGAAGAAAGAAAAATATGACACGTATGTGGCAATGAAAGAATTATTAAACTTGAAGACACTACTTCCGGTGAAAGGAGTTGAAAAATATTAATAGAGTTATCCTGCTTTCCCCAAAAATAAAAATCCACCCCTTCTTATTCGTATATTAAACTCTGATCAATAAAGCTATACCATCATCTGAAAACAGGCAAAATTAAGTTGTAGAGAGAAATAAAAAAAAAATATTGCTGGAACACTTGTAGAATCTACTTTTATTATTTATTTTCCAGAAGTTAGGTATGTGAATCATAAAATATTATTTTTAAGTTGTCAATTGACAGAATTTACTGATAGCATAAAGTCATTTATATCTCATTATATAATGATATATTTTTTTTTATTCTTAGAGCTAAAAATTATAAATAAATGCATTCAAAGAAAAGATTCTCGTTTTGTTAAACACTATGGTACTGTTCATTTTGCACCAAACATGTTTTATGTTCAAATTGACACATATACAAAAGGGTGCGTTTTTTTTATAACGACCCAAAGACCAATAAATATGCAGGAAGTAGAAAACCGGCAGTTTCCTCTTTCATAGATTAATGTTTTCACTATGATTTTAGAACAGAAAAGAAGATTTACACATCCTATATTGTTTCAAAGTAAAAATAGAATGTAATCCCTTTGTAAAAAAAATGTACGAAAATTATATTGTCTTGTTTCTTATCACATCAAGAGTGGAAAGTTTTCAAGGTAAGCTTTTCGTATTGTAAGTGAGTTATTGCTATCTGGATTTGTAGTACGGATTATGTATATGCTATTGTTCTCTTGATGCGTAGGTATACAATATTAATGCATTCTATGTAAAAAGTATTTTTACAATTTGTAAGAAACAATAAGAAATATTCAAATATATGTATATTTTTTTATTATATTTATGCTTTCTATCAATGATTTAAAAAGAAAGTTTTAATTTTGCAGACATACTATTATTTACATGTGCCTTTTCTCTGTAAATCATGTTTTTAGAGAAAGCCATTATAAACATGTAACACATTTACTTCAGTAATTGTACCTTAGAATAGAACATTCTTGAGAATGTTTAAGTAATGAGTGAATCACGCAGTGGAGCACGTTGAGAATTATACAATAGAGCAAAATCGGCGAAAAATAATATATGTTAAAAGAGGAAAGTTTAAGATAAAAAAGGAGAGAAAGCAAAATGACAGTTTTATCAAACTTTTGCCCCTGGTTATATTATTTTCCGTTTTCCATGCATACTATCAGCAAGTTTTCATAGACCATACAGTTAAATGTCTGAGACATTGATAGGATGTCTGTGAACCATTTATTAGTTTTATTCATTTTTTATTTAGTCGCTCGCGTGCCGCAGTGGATTGAATCTAGAGTCGCCAAGTAAGAAGTCCCACTGTGTGACATGGAAACCGGTCATTCGGACGAGACTGTATAAACCGATGTCCCGTGTCGCCGTAGGTGATGACACGAAAAAGATCCAAACCTGCTTAATTGCCCTTAGTACCGAGATTAGGACAAAATTTGCAGCTCTCAACCGGCAAGTTGTGGCGTCTCCATATGAGTGGAATATTCTAAAGAGGGAAATTAAACAATTTGAAATCAATCATATTTGAAT